AAAAAATTAGAGACAATAAAAATTTAAATATAGAACAAGTGCGTGTACTTGAGGGTCACAGCAAGAAAGCAGCATATCCTATGTTAGAAAAGAAGTTGTTGGAATTTGTTAAAACAAAAAGGAAAGAAAAAGGCACAGTAACTACATCAATGATTATAAAAAAGGCCAAAGCTTTAGGTGAAGCCATGAATATTGAGGGTATGAAGTTTTCACGTAAGTGGGCTGAGCGGTTCAAGAAAAGGCATAAATTAATAAAGCATGCTCAAACACAAGTAGCACAAAAAGTCCCTGAGAATAAGCCTTTAATCATTAAAAATTTCCTTAAAACCTCTCGTAAAAAAATGTATGCTATTGAAAAAAAATATATTTTATCCTTTGACGAAACACCTATGTGGTTCGATATTCCACGGGATTCGACAATCAATTTCAAAGATGCTCATGAGGTGTTAGTTAAAACTACAGGTAATGAAAAACTATAATTTACAGTAGTTTTGGATTGTAAGGCAGCCAGGAAGAAACTCCCACCAGCAGTAATCTTTAAATTAAAAAAAAAACTAAAAGGCAGATTTCTGCGAGATGTTGTAGTAGCAACTGCACCTTCTGCAACTATGACTAGAGATTTAATGATTTCTATGTATATTTCACGAGTTATTAGAGCTAGGCCAAATGGATTTTTCAAAAGCAAAGGCATTATTTTTGTTGATGGACATCTTAGTCATAATCATGATAATGTAATTAAAGCAATAAATGCAGAAGATTTGGATGTGTTAGAAATACCCAGAGGAACCACTAGTGTTTTGCAGCTACTAGATGTTTCTGTAAACAAGCCTTTTAAAAGTAGAATGAGAAAAAGGTAGAAAGAATAGATGGATAAAGGAAAAAAATTATATACTAAAAAAGGAAACCAAAAAAAAGCACTATATAAGCTTGTTTGTGAATGGGTATCTGAGATGTGGAGGGAAATCAGTCCAAATATTTTAGTCAAATCTTTCAAAGCAAGCAGGCTTGTACTTAATCCTAATGGTAGTGAAGATAATAAAATGTCACACTGCCTCCAAGCTATTGTTGAAACCGTCTGGATGAATTGCTAATCGAAGATACATATTCAGAAGAAGAGCCAAATTATGATAATAGTGAGCTGGATGATGATGGGTTGGACGATAGTAGGGCATATGATGATGAGCTAGATGATGGTGAATTGGATAGTGAGCTGAATAATAAGTTTGATAAAGAAATTGATCCCGATTATAATGATGAGAGTATTGTATATTTAGATAAAAAAATGCAAAATAATGAGACAATGGTAATTGATTAATAATAATAATTGATTGACCAATAAATAAATAAATAAAATTTCAGGGGGAGAATTATATAGTGTATTTATTTTCCTGTGTAAATATTTATACATTTCAATAGGCTAGATTATTTGTAAAGGTAAGTGATTATTTGTTTTCTTGATTGAATTTCTATTAAATGGAATAACTACTTTAATTAAAGAAAACTATTCAATTAAGTGTTTTTATAATATCCTATTATCATAAATCCACTTAGCATATTTACTATTACGAAGTATTAGATTAACAAATTAACATAATTTAATATTTTACCATGAAGGTTATGAGCTGCATTAAATATAATTAGAAAATCATTTTACTGCGAAGGTTGTGAATGATATAAGGTATAATATATTGTAGATTAAAGTTTGGTTAAAGCTTGAGGTAAAATTTTTTTTTCTAATTATGAAATTCTTATATTAAATTTAATTAAATATGCTATAATTGCTTTTTACTTAGTTAACCGATTATTATGAAACCAAATGTCCAAAAAAATTTTTATCAACTTGTGTTTACACTAAGGCTTTATATTATAAAAAGTTTAGCTTTTATTCATTAATATCTTGTAGCTATCATTATATAATATAAAATCTAATATGTAAACAAAGTTAGTATATAATGAACAAATATAATTTTTTTATGTCTCAGCAACTAATAACATAAATCTAATATTTTATTAGAGTATATCTGGACCAACTCCTCCTGTCTGCTATTTTTTCTCGATCGCTTAAATTAAAAGCCTCTGATGGATATATAAGATTTGGTGTTAGTAACTTATAACTGCAACTCTGATCTATAGATTTTAGATATCGCAATATATTAATGGTCAACTGAGAATACTTTAAAACTAACTCTTACAGAGCATAATATGAAATTAGTAGATGGCATCAGCATTAATACCAAGTATTGTGCCAACAATATCTGCATAAAATTTATTAACAGTTAATGATTGTTTATTTATGCAACAGATGATAGTTAACTAAATCATATATATATAACTTGTATCGATGTTGTTTGTCAAAATTTCTTTATATAACTCATTTTTTAACCTCATATATGATAAAAGTGTTTATGGCTTATGGCTTAAATGATCTACCCTTTAAAAAAAACATGATGACAAACATAAAGTATATGTCAACCTGGCATAGTCTAAAAGTTCCTTTGGAAGAGTTAAGATTAGACACTACTTTGAAATGTGGTTAAACGTTTAGGTGAAAAGTTTTTGATGAAAATCAATAGTATGCTATTATCATTATATGATAAGAAAATAGAAGAATTGCTTGCAAGCTTTGATAAATTAATTTTTTCTATATTTGATTTTTTTAATAGATATAACTTTTAAGTTATCCATTTTAGAATTTCTGAATTGAAAAAATCTACTTAGTAGTACAAGTTCTTTGTTATGCCATTCTTTGTCAAATTTAATATATAAGTGCCTAGCAGAATTGAGATCAAAAAGAACCAAGGCATTCATGCTAGAATCTACTAAATATAGCATAGTAATGAAATTCGAATCAAAAGATGAACAGAAAGCATTCATTAATCGATTTGTTAAAAATGAAATACTAGTGAAATTGGAATTGAAAAAGATGAAAATGAAATATTTGAGATGTAAGTATTGTGGAATTAGAGTTAAAAATAGAAAATATCAGTGGAATTGAAGTCAAAAAATAAGTTTGATGTTTATTAATTTGTTAAAATAGGTGTGTTAGTGGAATTGAGATTAAAAAAAGATGAATGTACGATAAAGTGTTCATTATTATATCTGCGAGAATATAATTTTCTAAAACTGATAATCGAGATTGTACTTTATTAATTTACTAAAATAGCAATGCTAGTAAATTTAGTATTGAAAAGAATAAACATAAAGTAAGATGTTAGTTATTATGTCTGCTAAAAAGAAAACATACCCAATATTTGCTGATTATTGATAATAAATGAACACCATTCATTCATTTTTTTTAACACTAATTTCTTTTTCATAGCAATATGCAAGTAAGTTTATTCTGTTAGAATTTCCCATATCAGCTGATTTTTATAAATAAAAGCTACATGTTTATTATTTTCAATACCAATTCGAATTGAATTGGAGTTACAAGGTCATTAATTAACCTTTTAAAATAAAAAATCTTAATGCAATTGGAAATATTTATTGAAACAAAAAAATAGTAGAATTGAAGTTAAAATAATTAAAATGTTTATTTAAATAGAAAACGCAGTTACAAATATATAATAAAGATTTATTAATTAATATAAAGTAATGAATTTAATTTATAAATGCATCTATTACTAGCTATTTTATGAATTCTAAGACATAAAATCAAATTATCAATATTTATATGATTACCTTATATGGGTATGCATTATTTCAGGATGTGTATAGGTGTTATTTTGAAATCATAATTTTATTTTTAGGAGGTCCAAATTTCGAAATAATACTTACAGGCATTATTCCACAAAAATATGATAATTCTTATACTGCTTTTGTATTTAACTATATATACTTTTGTTCAATTAAGTGCATTTTTTTATTTATATTATAAAAGTTTTGCTATTTTATCTAATTAAATATTAGCAATTTTTTGAAACTTACAAGTTGTGAGTTTTGTTTATCCAATACATTGTTTACTGTATAATTAAAGTTACTCATAATAACTATTTGCATTTGTTTTTTTTACTTATAATAACCTTTACTATTTTTTACTAAATGCTTTTTTCTACTTTGTTATTTGATAATATATAAACTCTTATTGTATTAATTCTATTTGTTTAAAATATAATATAATCTCTATTATATATTTATTAATCTTCTTAACTGCATTTATATGTTTTTCTTAATGTTCTTTTACTAAAATCTCTATATCTGATTTTTTTTTTGTCTTCTTCTGTATTACTCTGATATTTAATATATCTTAATTATTTTGTATATTAAGAATTTATTTTCTCTTTCTGCAAGATTCATTTCTGTAATATTTAATATTGCAAATTTTTTTTTCTGTTTAGCTAAGCAAATTTTCAAGCTTTTAATTTTTGGTTTTTAATTTATTAATATTATAATATGCTATTTTTATTTTTTTTTATTTTTTTCTTAATTAGTTTTGTTCTGTTTCTATGTTTTCTAATTTTTTTTTTTCTTTTTTTTTCTTTTTAATGAGAAGATCTTATTCTTTTTTTAAATACTTCTTTTTTTCTTTACAAAAATTCTTTAAGCTTCTTATTTGTTCTTATTAGTTTAACTAGAATGCTTTAAGAAACAAGTTGCATAGGTTTTTTATAATTTTTTTCTAGTTATTTTTAATCTTTCTAGTTTTTTTAGTATTTGACCTAGTATGTTTTCTATATTTAATATTTGCTCTTGTAGTTTTTTTTATATTTTTAATCTCTTTTTTTGATCTTTTTTGTTTCTAGTTTAGCAGTTAGGGTTTTTTTATCTTTTTTTTTATTTCAATTGCTTTTACTTTCTTATTATTTCTTCTATCTTTTGACCTTATGTTATATTTATTCTTTTCATAAATTTCTCTATAATTATATACTCTTCTTCTAAGTTAGAGTCTTTTATCTTTTCTTTTTTTTGTATCTTTTGTCTTACTACTATTTTTATAAAATTTTCTGTTTACTCTTTTTGGTTTAACTTTTCAAAACACTGAGACTTATTGTATTAGACCTTTTTTTTAGTAGTTTTATTATATCTGCTGTCACGATCTAAAGTAGGATCATTGATAATTTATTAAAGATGATTACATAATTAAACAGTAGTATAACATATATGTAGCGTAATTAGCAGATATAGGGTATATAGCATAATTAGTAAACATAGCATATATAGCATATATAGCGTATATAGTGTATATGGCGTATATAGCAGATATAGTGCATAAAGTAGATATAGCGCATAAAGTAGATATAGCGCATAAAGTAGATATAGCATATATAGTATATAGAGTGTAAATAGTGTATTTAGCAAATAGGGAAAAAGTATATAAGTAATGCGCTTAAAATGTAAATAGAACATACAAAATACAGAATAGAGAATATAGAACACACAGGATATAGAATATAGTAATAAATACTCACCTTATACTCACCAAATCCAACGCCTCTTTCGAGTATTGTGATGCCCTACGTTACACTAACGACCTATCGGCTACTCTATGAATAGGGAATTCTAGGATAGTTCCGTCTTGCATCATTACATTTGGTGGATTACTGTGAGATTGTCTGACTCCCCCCCTTTCCCCGATGCAAAAAAGAGAAAAAGTTGAGTAAGAAGAGAGGTTAAATATAAAACAAAGGAAAGAAACAGTAAAAAGAAACTCACCAATGTACCATGTGAACGAAAGCCAACGTACCGGCAAAAAAAAGGATCACCTCTTGAAATGACGTACTGACACCGATGCACCGTATGAAGGACAAAAGCCAACGTACCAGCAATAAAGAATTAAATCGCCAAATTGAGACCTTACCAACGTACCGTGTAAAGGAAGAAAGTAGATTAAATTAGGGAAAGACAAACAAGTATTAAAAGAACAAGGAAAGAAAGAAAAAACTTACCTGAAAAAAAACTGGCTAATGTATCGGCAAGAAAGAATATACCCGTTATAAACATACTTACCAGAAATTGGAAAAAAATAGAAGAGAAAGAAAATTTCCATTAGTAAATTGATAAAGGATAACAAAAAAAAAAAAAAAAGTGATACTTTATCTGAAATCCGAAGAACAGAATCTAGCCCAGGTTTTGGTGTTCTGGCAAAGTTAAAAACGTTAGTATTGTAGAAATAACAAGAAAACAGAAGAAGAAAAGCAAAAGATACTTCCTGATTCATGGCTGAACTATTCAACAAACAAAAAGAACACAAAGATACCAGATAACTGGTGAATCCAGGAAACAAAAAGAAATCACCAAGCAGCAAACGACAAAAGCAGCCAGTAGCAGTTTTGTTTTAAAAAAAAAAAAAAAAAAAAAAAAAAAAACAAACTGTTAGTATAAAAAAATTGCAATAGAACCAACAAAAAAAAAAAGAAGTAAATACTTCCCGATTGGATTAGTCCAGTATCTAACACCCAACGAAAGAAATTGATATACCAACCTAGTTATACGTGCCTACCTATTATACAATAAAAGTATAATATCAGAATACCTTGAAAGTAAAAGGAAAATTTTAATTTAAAGGATTAACAAAATAAACTTGGAACCTAAAAGTTAAAGTAAAAATAAAGTTACAGGTTTGGAAAAATAAACCTGTAGTTACTAGAAGTTTAGAGCCAAAATTAACACTAATAATCACTAGACTACACATAAAAAAAAAAAAAAAAAAAAAAAAAAAATATATGAAATATACAAACTGACCATATCTAACAGAAACTGCCAGCAATACAAAACCCAAACAAAAGCAACTCAACGACAGCAAGCCCAGAGGAACTGCAGAAATCATAAACCAGCACCAAAGTCCTTTTGAAAGAAGTCCCAATGCCCCTATTGCTGTATAAGAGGACACATTGTGTCCATGTGCCCAGCAGTGAGAAAGCTAGATTTGGAGTGTACCAGGCTTCTTACAACACTTACTGTAGGGCAACTCCAAAAGGTCCAAGAAATGGTCGATGAAAACTTCAGATACACCCTTGATGATAAGCAGATACCTGAGGCCCTGAAATTTACATTGGAATTTGTGGAAAACATGCTAAATGATGAAAGTAAATTGGATGAAAGGAATAAAGAGAGCCTGGCACCAGTAGACAATTATTATAAGAACACCCCTGTGGTCTCCTCGAACCTTGAAAGTAATAAATGGAAACCTGAAGAAAAAGATCTAAAAAAGAAGATTAAAAATAAAAAGTCCAACGTAAAAGCTTCACTAGAGGAAGTACTCACAGTGCATGACACCTTACCCTGGAAAGTGTATTGGAAAAAAACTGAAAAACTTGAAAATTACTCTAATAATGTGAGTTACGTTGATGAAATATATAAACTTGGAAGGTGTCATCAACATGAAAATAATGTTAACAAAGATGAACATAAAGCTTTCAGTTATTATCGAAAATCTACAGATATAGTTGATTTTAATGGAACATTTAATGTTGGTTATCACTATAAAAATGAGAATGTAAATGCCCAAAGTAATGATAATGAATGCTATGAAAATGCAATTGAAGTTAAAAATGATGAACAAATTGTAGTTGAAAATGATGAACAAATTGGTGTAGAAAAAGATAGACAAATTGGAATTGGAAAAGACGAACAAATCAGAATCAAAAAGGATGAACGCATTGGAGCTGAGAAGGATGAACATATTGGAGTTGAAAATAATGAACAAAGTGGAGTTGAAAAAGCTAAACACATTGAAGTTGGAGGAGATGAACGAATTGGAGTTGAAAGAGACGAAAAACCAGCATGGGAATAGTATTCAAAATCCATTAAAGATGGATGATGAACCCTGTTGGAAAACCTGGACCAGGCCTGTGATAAATGGAAAGAAAAGGTATATGAGTTTAAAACATGGATGAACGAAATAAAAAGGACAGTAAAGCGTGGCAAAACCTACCCGAAACCACATGATCAAGGACTAAAAGGCGACGAAAAAAGAGAAATTACCGAAGTTACTGCATGCAAAAGACAAGCAATTTCACTGACCCCTGAAATAACAACCCCAGTTTTGAATGATAGACCTAAAGAAAAGAAGAAACCGTAGTTAGAGATCAGTAAAGGGCGCACCAATGAAACGAAAGGTATTGTCCGATACTTATCGATATGCCAATTAGCCCTCAAGATATTTGACCTAGAGGGAAGTGGCAGATATTCGACCCTGGTGGAGAATTCCTTCTAAGAAAACGATTAGTGTGCAGTAAACCGTAGTAAAAAAAAAAAAAAAAAAATCTAAAATGATAATATCTTCATAATAATTAGTCAACCATCCTACACATTGTAAGTATAGTGCCCTCGCCGTACCAACCTGCCGAAAATCTGCGAAGCTTGATTTAATTCATGAAACGAATATATTAAAGTGGAGAGAAATGTCACGATCTAAAGTAGGATCGTCAATAATTTATTAAAGATAATTACATAATTAAACAGTAGTATAGCATATATGTAGCATAATTAGCAGATATAGGGTATATAGCGTAATTAGTAAACATAGCGTATATAGCGTATATAGCATATATAGCATATATAGCAGATATAGTGCATAAGTAGATATAGCATATAAAGTAGATATAGCATATATAGTATATAAAGCGTAAATAGTGTATTTAGCAGATAGGGAAAAAGTATATAAGTAATGTGCTTAAAATATAAATAGAACATACAGAATACAGAATAGAGAATATAGAACACACAGGACATAGAATATAGTAATAAATACCCACCTTACACTCGCCAAATCCAATGCCTCTTTCAAGTGTTGTGATGCTCTACATTATGCTAACGACCTATTGGCTACCCTATGAATAGTGAATTCTAGGGTAGTTCCGTCTTGCATCATTACACTGCCTAATTTTAAAATAATATTATTGTATAACTTCTTGATTTTCTTTATTTATTTAGTGAAATATATACTTTATTGCCTTTCTGACTTTAAGTTTTAATAATAGAATTAGTTCAATAATTTTTTTTGATATTTTTTTCAATTTCATAATAAATTAATTTTTTTCTTCTTTTTTTTTCTTTTCTTCTTTACAAATTGTTATTCTTGCTAACTTTTTATTTCTTAAAAAAATTATTCATGAAAATACTTGTTTATTTTTTTTCTTTATTTTTATTACTGCTATTGTTTTATATATACTTCTTTTGATCTTGCATTCTGTTATTTTGTCTATCTTTTTTACTAAGCATTTAATCTTATACTCTAAGATCTCTTTTAGTAAATCTTATATTATTAATATTACTGTATTTTCTTTATTTTTTTGTCTATATTTTTCTTTTTTTAATTAAAGATCTTGTTCTTTGTTCCTTTAGCATTCTTTATATTTTCTTCTTTTTTTATTAATTTATCTTTCTGCTTTAATTTCTCTTTCTTTTTAGTCTTATTTTTTTCTGTTTTATTTATATTTAAAATCATTCTAAATCAGTATTGTGTTTTTTTTAGATCTTGTTAATTGCTTTTTTTTTGTTATATTTGCAATTAATAATTCAAGTATTATTTTTTTTAAATAGTTTTTTAACATCTTTAATATGTTTGTTAAATACTAATAATTTTTTAACAAATTTTGTTCTTTCTTTTTGCAAGCTACTTAATACATTGTATGCTAGTATTTTCATTACATATATTTTTTATTATTATAATTTTTGTTTGAAGATAACTAGATGCTTTGTTCTAGTGATGCTTTTATAAAATTACTTTTATCTTCTGTCATTCAGCTTTATGAATTTCTTCTTTTTTATTCATTTTACTTTTTTTTTGGTTTTTTGATTGTTATAACTATATTTTTGTAGTTTTGTTGCATTATATTTGTTTTTAGTATTTTAATTTTTTTTTCTATATAGCTATCTGTTGTTGCTTCTTCTATTATTATGCTTCTTGCTTCTGTGACTATGGCTTTTTTATCTTTTTTTTTTGGTTTTCTTTTTTTTCTAGGCTTGTATTCTGTTATAGTTCTTTTTATTTATTACTATATCTATTGCTTTGATCTTTTGTCTCATTTTTTTTATATATATTTCTGATATGATGATTTTTTTTGATTTTGTTTGAACTTTTTTGCTACTTATACTTTTACTGCTAATAAGTTTTGACTTGCATAATTTATTTTTTCTGCTTACTTTTTTTACACTTGTTAGATCTCTTATGTCTATTTTAATTATTACTTCATATATTTTTCTTAGTATTACTATTTTTATTAAATCTGTTTTTTATAATGCTACTATTACTATGTTTTTTATATTGAAGTAGTTGTCTTTATTTGCTAGTTTTTGCTTTAATTCTTTGCTGTCTATGAGTTTTAGCTTTGTCTCTATTCTTTTACTTACCAATTTTAATGTTATTAACTCTTTTACTTTTATTTGTATTAATATTTGACTATGTTTTGTGTTATTTTTCTTAGTTTGTTTACAATCACATATACTTATATATTTATTCTGTCTATATTTGCACATGTTTATTTGTTTGTCTCTTTATGTACTCATATGTTTTAAACAATTCTAAAATTTCAGATCTATGCTATTTTTTTAAAATTTTATTTTTCAAAGCTTATTTAATGAATTTGTTTTATTTTTGCTTTCTGTTTAGCTTGTATTCTTCTATTAATTAATCTGTTAAGTCTATTTTAAAAGCTTTTTCTTTTTTGATAAGCTTTTAAGTACAGTTTAAATGTTAGTTTTTTTGTAAATCTTAATTTGGTTCTGAAAGTTTTTGTATTTTGGTAATTAGTAAAAAGAATGTTTAATTAATTATATTTAATTTTTATTAAAATTTTATAGTATATATATTAAATTATATTTTTTTAATAATATAAAATTTTATGCAGAGAACCAAGTCAATGATGGCCAGACTCAAAGTACAAAGCAGACTATAGTATTCTTTGCAGCTGTGAGAGCCAAGCATATGGTAAGTGAATTTACAGAAGAAGCTTCCACTTCTTTGAATTTTATTTTATCATCAAACATCAAGGAAGCACCACAAGAACCAATCCACAAGACATTATACGATCCAGACTTATGCTATAACCAATAGCTAGCATGTCTAAATTTACCTCTACTCCTATATTCACAAATACTCTATTTATTTTTAAAACATATCTATCAATACAACTTTATACAATATAATAATTTCAACTATGCACTAAGATTAGCAATCAAACTTGACTATAGTAAATGCTATATACACCCACTACATGTGTCTGAACCTTTACCTAATTACTTTTTTTTATATCTATTAGGTTATATCTACTATCCATCTATATCTATACCTTCTAAATTTTCTCTATTAAACAATAATACATTAGATACTAATTCAATCATAAAGGATAATGAATTAGACAACATTTATCTTCAATTATTAAGAACTATCTTAGATGGCTATGATGAAACTACTATAACTAATTGATATTACAATAACATCCAATTCAATACCTGCTACAACAAATTTTTATTCTATAACTACATAACACTAATCTCTTATCTTCAAACTATTATTACTTTTTTATAACATATTTATAGCTTTGGCTATTTATCTGATAACTTATATGGCTACACATTAACTATCTTTATCAAAAATAATTATAGCAAAGCCTATGTCTATCTTCCATCTGAACCCAAACCCTTATCTAATCATTTCATCTTACTAGTCCAAGCCATTTGGTACTATCCAAATATCCAACTAAAATCAAATACACCAACACCAGTCTTTTCCATACTAGCATTCTTAGACCACTAGTTCTTCTCTACCTTTTACCTATCCCAAGAACCAGAACCTCCAAATTATCATAGTTTATTTTTATCTTCTTCTAACAACTCAACACAAACAAACTCCAAACCACTAGACTTACTAATCTGTACATATAATATATAAGACTACAATGAAGATTTAAAACAACAAATTTAGGAAGACTTCTGCCTTTTTAACAACCTCAAAATTATTAGTATTACAGAAACTAAAATCACTACAAATAACCCTATAACCAAATTACAAAAATTCAAACACTTTACTTATTTCTAGTTTTGTACTAATAATTCAAAAGCTGGCATAGCTATTATAATTCATAAGTTCATTAAATGCCATATTTACAAAATCCTATTCTTTTCTGAATATGCTATTGCAATAAACCTTTTCTTTAAACACAATTTCAAGTTTAGAATTATTTCAATCTATTTATCATGTGATAATTCCCAACTTAGACTATTAGTACAGAATACTATTATTCAATGGATTCAACAAGCTATTACTCTAAACATACAACTCATTATCCTAGATGACTTTAATGCATCTAATTACCTTACCCAATCCTCTTCAATTAAATACAAACTACTTCACTTTCTTCAATATAATAATTTATATAACTTAGCTAGTTATACATAATCCTTTATATCTACTTGGCAAAGCAGCAGATATAGTAGTAGCATTGACTATATCTGGGTTAACCAATTTCTTCTTTATTATCTTAACTCCTTTACTGTTAAAGATTCTGATACTAGTACTCAACGTGACCACAAAATTCTTATTTTCAATTGGTCTTTTCCCTATATATACTTAGACAAACCCTGTTATTTGACCAAAACTTGATGAAGAATATTCTTATACAAAAACATGAGCAATGAACAATGGCAACTTTTTTCAGATCAAATAACATTAAACTTAACTAATAATCAAACACCACTCAATATACAAACCTCAGAATTCTTAGAATCTACATGGCACAAAATTCAAAACAGTATTATTACTGCAGCTCTTCAACACATCCCTAACAAAAAATTTATAGTCAGAAATTTTCAACATATTTTCTCTACTAAGGCTTCAAAATTACACTATTATCTTAAAAAACTTGGCAATATTATTTGACAAATCAAATATGCACTTCAATACTTATCACCTATTCTATTTTATCATAATCAACTTATTACTTATATTAATACATCTTGTAATCTCAATATTTCATTACTACTAGCTGAATATAATCTGTTAACAAACTGGTTAGGCTTAGTTAAAAATGAATGAAAAACATTATACTATACTCATAATATAGAAAATATCAAAGAGAT